ATTGAGCAGTTAACCAGTTAATTGTGTGATAATTTCTTTGCACTTGTGGCTGGCCTTACTTTGCAAGTGTGGCCAGTGTAAATTTATTGAGCAGTTAACCAGTTAATTGTGTGATAATTTCTTTGCACTTGTGGCTGGCCTTACTTTGCAAGTGTGGCCAGTGTAAATTTATTGAGCAGTTAACCAGTTAATTGTGTGATAATTTCTTTGCACTTGTGGCTGGCCTTACTTTGCAAGTGTGGCCAGTGTAAATTTATTGAGCAGTTAACCAGTTAATTGTGTGATAATTTCTTTGCACTTGTGGCTGGCCTTACTTTGCAAGTGTGGCCAGTGTAAATTTATTGAGCAGTTAACCAGTTAATTGTGTGATAATTTCTTTGCACTTGTGGCTGGCCTTACTTTGCAAGTGTGGCCAGTGTAAATTTATTGAGCAGTTAACCAGTTAATTGTGTGATAATTTCTTTGCACTTGTGGCTGGCCTTACTTTGCAAGTGTGGCCAGTGTAAATTTATTGAGCAGTTAACCAGTTAATTGTGTGATAATTTCTTTGCACTTGTGGCTGGCCTTACTTTGCAAGTGTGGCCAGTGTAAATTTATTGAGCAGTTAACCAGTTAATTGTGTGATAATTTCTTTGCACTTGTGGCTGGCCTTACTTTGCAAGTGTGGCCAGTGTAAATTTATTGAGCAGTTAACCAGTTAATTGTGTGATAATTTCTTTGCACTTGTGGCTGGCCTTACTTTGCAAGTGTGGCCAGTGTAAATTTATTGAGCAGTTAACCAGTTAATTGTGTGATAATTTCTTTGCACTTGTGGCTGGCCTTACTTTGCAAGTGTGGCCAGTGTAAATTTATTGAGCAGTTAACCAGTTAATTGTGTGATAATTTCTTTGCACTTGTGGCTGGCCTTACTTTGCAAGTGTGGCCAGTGTAAATTTATTGAGCAGTTAACCAGTTAATTGTGTGATAATTTCTTTGCACTTGTGGCTGGCCTTACTTTGCAAGTGTGGCCAGTGTAAATTTATTGAGCAGTTAACCAGTTAATTGTGTGATAATTTCTTTGCACTTGTGGCTGGCCTTACTTTGCAAGTGTGGCCAGTGTAAATTTATTGAGCAGTTAACCAGTTAATTGTGTGATAATTTCTTTGCACTTGTGGCTGGCCTTACTTTGCAAGTGTGGCCAGTGTAAATTTATTGAGCAGTTAACCAGTTAATTGTGTGATAATTTCTTTGCACTTGTGGCTAGTCTTACTTTGCAAGTGTGGCCAGTGTAAATTTATTGAGCAGTTAACCAGTTAATTGTGTGATAATTTCTTTGCACTGGTGCTGATCTTACTTGGCATGCGTGGCTGGTGTCAATTTATTGCGCGATTCAGTAGTGAATCGTATAATATATATAATGTGTAGCATACGCAGCTTGCTGGAACAGTAGGAACGTCTTCTTTAGAGAAGTAAGAGATGAGACGGCGCTGAAATCCCTCTGGGATCTGGACGCCTCTTTGATGCGGAGTGACAGGACCCCGGCGGGCCAAAGTTATTCCCGGTGCAATGCTTGCAGCCATGTGGTTGCTTCCACGGCCATGAAGCCAGCTTTGCACCCAGAAAACCGGGCTTTCATACAGAAACGGGAACAGGTTGCAAAACAGCATTATCTCCACGGAAAACGTCATCGTTCTCATCAGACCCCCAACGTTCGTGTTTTCTTGTGCCCAAAACCAAACAATTTTGGTCCAGGGGTGCCCGTCCTCTGTGGGCCAGCATGCCCAGCTGGACTAAATCTCCTGCAATGCAGCATGCTCCGGGGCCACCGCGCTACCTAGCTTCCCATTGCCCCACGAGCAGACCTCGCGCCTGAAATTACACCGCTGGGATGGAGCAGGGATGGCAGCTTCCCCGCGGCACTACCCAATCCCCGTTTCAGCTGAAATCATTCATTTGTGAGAGCTTTCCCCCGCAAAAGGTGAATTTTCCCAAGGACCAAAGCAATGTGGGGGTTGTCCCTGGAAAGGCCTCTGCCCAAAAGAGCCGGCGAGGAACAAATGAATGAAGTGAACGTGGGGCTCGCAGGGGAGCGGGTGGGAGAAGGGCTTAGCCACGCGCACGAATACTCCTTCTCCGCAACCCGAGTTAGCCACCCGGGTCCTGCGCGATGGAGACGTGGAGTTTTCTCGTGCGAGTTTGGTGCTGTCTGATGGCCTTTGTCACGGAGACGTTTCCAGGTCTGGAGCATCCCCCGAGCGGTCCCAGCCCTTCCTGCTGGGAACCAAGCACAGACAAAGCCTTGTCCTTGGCTCCGGCTGCCCTGGGCCATGCCAGGTCGTGCCCGAGGTGCGGTTATCGCCCCACTCTGTTTTCCCACGGGCCTTTCCGCCGGGTTCGGACCTGCCAGGGGCCGTGGTTCCCTGGGGGACGGCGCTCTGAGGCTCCCGGTCGAGCCTGTGGTCGGTGCTGAGGATGAGGTAGCGTCTCCACGGCTGAGTTAGAGGTTTTGCTGCTGGGATTGTTCAGTGTGTTTGCTTTCTGCTTGCACGGCCAAGTGCGGGCACCGAAGTGAAAGAGGCTCTTGGCTCCGGCCAGGCAGGGACTCCCCAGGGTTTTCTTTGGACGACCCAGACTGGAACAAGCCTCCCCATGCAGGTCTAGCGTGGCTCATCCTTGTCCTGAGCTCGGCTTCCCACCCAGACCAAAGCCTGTTGGAAAGGCATGATTTCCGGCTACCTCCCCCTCTGCTCTGGGGCTCGATCTGGGTCTGTGCTGGGAGCCACTCTGCATTGACACCAGGACATTTCAAGCTGCAGCAAGGGAAGTTGAGGTTGGATATTAGGAAACACTTTCTCCCTAGGAGGGTAGCAAAGCACTGGAACAGGCTTCCCAGAGAAGTCTCCATCCTTGGAGGTGTTTAAGACCCAGGTAGACAAAGCCTTGGCAGGGATGATGTAGTTGGGGCTGGTCCTGCTTGGAGCAGGGGGTTGGACTAGATGTGACTCCTGAGCATCCTTCCCACCCTCCTTTCCTGTGATCCTGTGTCATGCAATTAGACCCAGACATGTCAAGCAAGGCCTGAGCTGGGCGTCAGGAGAAGCAGTGGTGACTTGGCCTGGCAACGGTCCCCGATCCGCACCATGCCTCTGGCTCCCTGCACGGACACTTCCCCACCTCATCGTCCGAGCCGGCTCGAGGAGCCGTCATTGCTGCACGCTGTTGATGCTCCCAGGCTCATGGCTGCTACCGACCTTGGCCCGTAACCTCGGCCTGCGTGTGTATAACTAGCCGTTGGGATATCCCCCATCAGTGCTGCAGTATCCGATGGGACGTGGCAACCTCAGGAAATCACCTGAGCTGGGATTGAACCATTTTGGGTGGAAACCAAACTGCCGTATGAAGCCGTGTCCACCCCAGCGACCCCAAGCAGGGAGACACCGGGGCTCGACCGGCCTCTTTCAACATGCCCGGGAACAAAGGCTTTGCTTTTTGGTCTTTGGGTTTGAAGGAGCTCTGCATTTCAGAGCCGTGCGCTGTGCACAACAGAGGGGCGTCCTCACGGAAACCCGGCCCTCCATCCTCCAGAGACGGGCTTGCAAGACTTGTTTTCCTTCGTGGGGAGTTTTGAAACATCTGGGTTCACTCCAGTTCGAAGGCAAGCCCTGTCTGGAGAGCTCGAGGGCCTTTGCAATACCGGATCGTCATCCTCCGACCAGTGCAGGTGCCCAGTGCCCAGCTGGGAGGCCTCCAAGGATAACCCATGAGGAAGAGCGCGGGG